TGAAGCCCTGACCGGCCGCACTCAGCTCTGCCCGCAGCCTTCTCTTCTCCAGGCTGAACACCCCCAACTCTCCCAGCCTGGCCTCAGAGCAGAGACACAGAATCATAGAATTGTCTAGGCTGGAAAAGACCTTTAAGATCATGAGGCACCTTATGGCACCCGTAGGACTGCCAGGTGACACAAAACCAGGGCAGCGTGTTAAGCAGCGTAACTGGCACTTATGGGCACACCGAGTTCTGTTTGCAGGCTGAGCGCTGTGAGACTCAATGGTTTTAATTGCGCACACTGCTGGATCAGATCTTTGCTTCCAAATAATGTATTTTTTAAGTCTAAAGCCGTTTGAAGGAAGAAAAAAAGAAAATCCTGCTTGGGGAATGTAGGCAGCAGCCTACAACTGACAAAAAATATTCCTCCTGACACAAGATTACAAAGAAGATGGCTCATATATTAAAGAAAATAAACCTCTACGTGCTTCACAAGATGGTGGCCTGACTCTCAGTTTCCCCTTGTGTTTCAGACCCTCTTGATACCGTTTACATCTCAGCTTTCCCATTTTCAGGGCTACCAGGGAACCGGTGAACGGCTCCACGCTGCGCGGCTCAGCTCAGCACAGGCGGGCTTGGAGCGGAGCAGTCGCGTCCGCGGAGCAGAGGGACACGGGCAGCACGGCACTGGGAACCAGTGGTTGTCCTGGGAGTTTTGCACCAAGCTTAAAAAACCAGAAATAAAAAGGGGAGCCGATCCCGAAGCTCGCTCTGTGGGAGTTGGAGAAGAAAACTCCCTGCCGGTAGGAAGGGAAGAGGCACCGGGAGAAGCCGCTGCCCCGGCCCGAGCAGAACCAGCCAGGGCTCTCCCACTTGGCTCTACGTGTTACGCAGCGGACGTTCCAGGTACAGGGAACTGAACTATCACAACGGTATCGCACTCCAGTGTGAGAGTTTAGCATCTGAGAGCGTTCTTTGCTTGCCCAGAAGCGACGTACGGATGCGTAGGCAAACAGCCCCATCCCTCGCCCAGGGACAGCTGCGGGAAGTGCTTCCATGGGAGGAGTAATGGGGACAATTCCCTGCATTACGGGGCCACCGCTACGCCGAGCTGCCCTCACGAGCCTGCGGGGACGGCGAGGAGGGAGCTGCACGGCGGAGAGGGGCTGGGGGACCAAGCCTGGGTCCAGCTGCCCACCCTGCCCTGCCCCACAGAACTCGGTGCCGAGGCTTCCGCTTCTGCCCTGACTCTGGGACCCTCCTGTCGTCAGCACTGCCCTAGGCATTACACCGATACCAGAGGGCGTTAGAAGTGTCCAACTTGAGTTCACGAACCAGGCGCGTGCGGCCAGACGGACGGTAGCGCATCCTTACCTGCCAGAAGGAGAGGTGGCTGTCGGAATTGGAGTACGTGGCGAGGTACCGGCCGTCGGGGGCGAAAGCCACCGCCGTTATGGGTCCCTTATGGCCGTGGATAGTCTGGCAAGAGGGGGAGAGAACAGGAACGTAGAAGGTTCACTACCCATCGCGATGCTGCTGAACAGGCTTTTAAGCAAACGCAGGAGTACGTGAACTTCTAGAAACCTTTTTTTGGAAGACTGAGGGACACCGTTACTGTCAGTAGAAATTAAATACTACGTGGAAACACCTTCTCATTGCCACCTGCATCTTCTGTTACTCTAGCGCTCGTTTTCCGACTGTCGCTGTGTCAGTGGGCGCGCGCCCCCGAGGAGCGGAGCAAAGCGCGTGTGCAGGGGTTGGCTCCCGCCGGTCGGGGGGGGACAGGAGGGCGGCAGGGGCTGCTCCCGGGCACCTGAAGGCACGGCACGGAACGTCGCAGCTCCTGCCGTGTCGCGCACAGGGACTTTGCTCAGCACGTAAATGCCTCTGGACAACCCAACCCGTGAAAGCACACCACTGAGATTTCTTACCAGGTGGGACTTAAGCACACGCCGCTCAGTATTAAATACTAGGATGATTTCTTCTAAGTGTTCTAATAGCTGCTTAGCCAATAAAAGGGAATTAAATCATCATCTGACCACATTCCCTGCCAAATCCAGTTTTTAAACGAAAGTAATTTGTCAGGCATATGAACATAAATGTGTCTTTAACGGAATTTTTAAGAAAATCTGATACTTACACTCCCGAGGTGAGGTTGTAAATTGGATGCCTAGGA